AGAAACCCGCATACAAATGCGTCTTCTCACACGTAAATAACCCTGAAAGGGCAACTGACGCGATTGAACTATGAACATGCCGTGCGCTGATAATATTGGCCCTGCTTTGAGTTTCTTAGGAGGAAAGTGAGAAAGAAAATGCTAGTTAGGCGACACTGCGTATTATTATTCCAATGGAGAGTGCGAAATCATCGCAAATGGCTTCCCCACACTCCTGAAAGTCCAGACACCTGTTTCGCCAACACAAGGAGTTGCATGATGTAACTGCGAGGGGTGATTGCTAATCTGTAGGTCCACCAACTACTGTCAAGAATCTCGTGGGAAATTAAGGAAACGACTAAAAGAATGTCCCTGTGAGGTCCAAGGTCGTTTGGGAGTATGGTTGTATTCCTTCGAGAATACCCCCAAAAACCGGGCCACACACGGGAGATGGCCAAGGTAGGTGTTCAACCAGGGGATGCAAAGTCCGCAGCAGCCCATAACTGTCAGTTCGACAGTTGTGACCGACGATGTCCACCGTGTGATCCACAGCCGAATGAGGACAGGGACGGTGACTTACGCGTAGATTAGTTTATAGTGATAGTGGATTTGCACAGCGTCAACCTCACTCTCTCCTCCCCCCACCTGGGCAGGTGGATGGCACGGCGTGAACCCCGCACTGATGCGTACCACCACATCCCCTGATCCACAACACATACTAACCAGGATTTGACACGAGGAAAGGATGGCGGCTCGGATCCCATTGGATGGGGCTGCCATAGAGGCAACATTAAGAAGCGATTGCAGCCCGACTCTCAGTCCACCAGTCGGTCAATCCACACAGGCACACTCACACTGCGCTAATTGTGAGGTACAAGTAATCCCATCAGTTGGCAATATTCCAGGTCACAGCAGTTCGCGCATCATGATGGATCAAGAGCGTCAGATTGTTTATAGTGAGCAAAATGGGCTGAGACGTCGACCTCACTCTCCCCTACCACTCCCAGACACCAGTCCACTGCCCGGGACGGTCAGATGTCTGATGCAAGGAGTCGACGCCGTGGCTGACAGGGCTGGAGAACGCGTCTTTGCGTGCCACGCGCACGACCCCAAACGCGACGACAGTTCGTCCGTCGGTTTCGACGATGACCACCGTGTGCCCCACAGACTGCATTGTGGGAGCAGGGACGGTGACTTACGCAGGGGTTTATAGTGCCAGTAGACTTGCGTAGCATCTACCTACACTCTCTCCTCCTCCCCCGCCTGGGCCCGGTGTCAAGACAGAGTCAAGAAGACCGGAGACGGGGGAGGCCGCAGGTGGATGGCTCGGATGTATCCTCACCTTGGCGTTCCACCACACCCCCTGGTCCACACACCAATAACCAGGATTTCAACCAACACAACAGAGATTTGGAGGCTGGCACGGCCGAAGCCGCACCTGGGCGTGCCGCCAACGCCTGGCTCGGATCCCACACTGTGGTGGGAATGCCATAAAGGCCACATTAAAAAGGAGCCATTGCAGCCTGACTCTCAGACCGCCTCCAGTGAAGAAGGAGGTCCAAGGTACCCCGTCAGTTGGCAACCTTCCAAGCCACGGCTTTTAGCGCACCGTGATAGCTTCAAGCGCGTCAGATTGATTATAGTGAGGAAAATGCGCTGAGTCGTCGACCTCACTCTCCCTTCCCATTCCCACACCCCAGCCACTGTCCGAGCCGGTCAGTAGACTGGAGTGGGGAATGGGCGCGGTGGCTGACATGGTCGACTGACCATGCCTGCGCGCGCCACAGCACGACCTGGCCCCCCATACACACAAACACCAGGATTTCACACAACGGGGGTAGAACGGCGTGTCTCCCACTTGCGTGAGAGGGCCGTGGAAGGTGCTGTTGCAGCCCGTCCTCAGCCCACCAGTCCGCCACTCCACACAACACACACACACACAACGTGACGAACTGCGTGAACCGAGAGCGGGCCTCAATCAGCAACCTTCCCATCCACGACACTTGGCGTGTCGGGATAGTCTCGGACACAACTCACCCGTGCCGCCGAAGCCGCATGGGGACCGAGTCGAGATGCACACTTCCCACTTGCGTGGGAGGCGGCAGTTGAGTGCATGAGGTGTGTGGGGTTGATGTCTGGTGGGGTGATGGTGTTAGGAGGTAGAGAGTGAGGGAATGTGTGGTGTGACCAGCGGTTGTCTACCGCAGGTCGTCGTGGATGCGCATGTGGCCGAATAGACCCATGCGATGCGTGAAGGTGCGAGGGCAGTGTGGGCAGTGGAGGCGAGTGCGGTGAGTGTAGGTTGGTGCTCCAGGCACTGGTTCGCCAGTCTCTGTGCGATGGATTCGCAAGTGACCCACCAGGCCGATGCGTGAAGTGAAGGTGCGTGGACAATGTGGGCATGAGAGGTCGACGGTGTCGGTGCCGGCTGTAGAGGAAGCGGTGGTGTTGGTGGTGCTGGTCGGCGCGTGTGACGGTGGAGCGAGGGTGCGTCTGGGCATGGTGGATATGTTGGATGTCGTGGCTGTATCGGAATTGTGGTCAATTCTGCTCTCGTGGATGCGCATGTGGCCGAATAGACCCATGCGATGCCTGAAGGTGCGAGGGCAGTGTGGGCAGTGGAGGCGAGTGCGGTGGGTGTAGGTTGGTGCTCCAGGCACTGGCTCGCCAGTCTCTGTGCGATGGATTCGCAAGTGACCGACCAGGCCGATGCGTGAAGTGAAGGTGCGATCGCAGTGAGGGCAGATGTAGTCCTGGCCCACACGTCTGATGATGGAGGTTGCAGGGGTTGTGCCTGTTGTTGTGTCAGGTTCGGCTGTGGTGAAGTCGTGGGCGACAGACGCCGAAGCGGCCGTCGTTGTGGCAGTGATGGAGGAAATGGAGGAGGGAAGGGAGGAGTAAGGGGTGGTAATGTCGGTGGCATCGAGGTCGGCTGGGGAGTGGTTAGTGGGTGCACAAGGTGGTGGATTGGGAGTGGGGCTCGGCGGGGTGGATGTGTCAAGGCTGCGGTCAATTCCGCTCTCGTGGATGCGCATGTGGCCGAATAGACCCATGCGATGCGTGAAGGTGCGAGGGCAGTGTGGGCAGTGGAGGCGAGTGCGGTGGGTGTAGGTTGGTGCTCCAGGCACTGGTTCGCCAGTCTCTGTGCGATGGATTCGCAAGTGACCGACCAGGCCGATGTGTGAGGTGAAGGTGCGGTCACAGTGAGGGCAGGTGTGGTCCTGATCCTCATTAGTGGTATCGGGAGAGGTGGGAGAGGTGATGTTGGTTGGTGTGTTGGTGTTGGTGATGTGTGAGACAGCAGTCTGAACGGCCGCCGCTGGGGCAGTGGAGGAGAAGGAGGAGGATGGAAGTGGTGATGAAGAAGGAATGTCAGAGTTAGTTGGCGGAAGAGAGGAGGAAGAGGCGGGCGGGGGGACGATGGCTGGAGCAGTTCGAGAGCTGCAGTTGATCCGAAGATGTCCAACAAGTCCGATTCGTGCCCGGAATGTCCGGTGGCATCGAGGACACGTAGGGAGAGGTTGTGCGGCGGCGTTGCGGACTGGGCGAACATGTGATTTGCGGGCTTCGCGTTTCGCTTTGGCGGCGGCGATTCGGTTGGCTTCATAGATAGCAGCGCCCGTCTTCACTGTTCTCCTCCATGTCGGACGATCGCGAGCGAGCTCTTCCCAGTTGGTCGGGTTGATTTGCAGGCGCTTCAGGGAGGACTTCAGAGTATCCTTGTAACGGCGAATTTGGCCTCCTTGACGACGAGAACCCGTCGCGACGTCTCCGTAGAAGAGTCGTTTGGGTAGTCGCTCGTCGTCCATGCGCACCACGTGGCCGCTCCAGCGCAGCTGCATTTGTTTCAGTATGGCGTAGATGCTGAGGATTCCCGTTCGTTCCAGTACTTCCGTGTCGGGGATGCGGTCCTGCCAGTTCAGCCTCAGGATGCGACGCAGACAACTGAGGTGGAAGTGGTTCAGTCGGCGTGCCTGTCTCGTGTACACCGTCCATGTCTCTGCTCCGTA